GCGTACCTCCATTCTGGTAACTATAGGGGTGCCTGAGCTAGTAGACACCCCAGCCCCACCCTCGAAGGATTCTACAATGCATATGCATAGATCTCCTCGAAATTGAAAGAGATAGTTTCCACTTAAAACCAAATGGCCAACAGATACTCAGCCCAAGAGCAGGCCTTGAACTTTTCTTGTTTGCTTTTTGTTCTGTTTTATAACACGGGAAAGAGAAGGAAAAGGCTGTAGGGGCTAGATTCTTTTTTCTTCTTTAATTTTTAAAAAATAAAAAAAATTTTCTTCTTTCTTTTTCTTCTCTCCCTAGATTAAAATAAAAAAAATTCACACAATGTATTTAACATGTCTCAGAAAAGAAAATAAGACGTTGAAAGGAAAGTGCATAGTGTACTACTAAAGACAGACTATGGCTTTCCCACAATCCCCAAGGCCTTGTCTACTGTAGTTCCAGTATGCTCAGTGAGGCCTGCGGAGTAACGAAAGGTGTTGCCACTTTTGTTACATTCATAAGAGTTCTATCCAATGTGAGATTTATTGTGCTTAATGAGCCTTAATTTCTACAGGCATTGCCACATTCATTTCAATCATAAGGCCTCTATACACTGTGAGTTCTTGTATGAACTGTGAGCTGTGAGGATCCACTAAAGGCTTTGCCACATTCTTTACATTCATAAGGCCTCTCTCCACTATGAGTTTGAGACCGCATATGAACCATGAGGTGTGAGGACTGAGTAAAGGCTTTGCCACATTCATTGCATTCATAAGGTCTCTCTCCACTGTGAGTTCGCTTATGAATTGTGAGGTGTGAGGACTGACTAAAGGCTTTGCCACATTCATTGCATTCATAAGGTCTCTCTCCAAGGTGAGATCTTTCATGCTTTCTGAAATATGAAAGGTAACTAAAGACTTTGCCACATTCTTTACATTCATAAGGCCTCTCTCTACTGTGACTTTTCTTATGAACTGTGAGCTGTGAGGACTGAGTAAAGGCTTTGCCACATTCTTTACATTCATAAGGCCTCTCTCCACTGTGAGATCTCTTGTGAAGTGTGAGT